CCTGGAGATTGACATTGTTATGACGTATGAAACTCGTAATTTATATGGACGTGCAATTGGAGAGGTAGTGGATTTATTGATCGGAGGCAAATGATACTTGAAATTGTACGAGCAGTCTTGATTGCGTATCGACCCTGCTATCTGCCCAGCCCAGCCAGTTGAGTCCAGAACACAAATAACAGCCTTAGTGGTATGAATCATTATTTACAAACATACTGGGTTTTTATACAAAACAAAGTAATCAATAAACTGATTATAACTCAAGAATCGTATGATCATAAATCAAAGATCAAAATAAAGCTCATGATAAGAGAAAACGAATATGAATAATTTAGTTACGTAACAACTGTACAATAAGAAATAGGCATAATACATTGGTCGATAAATAGTCCTTAGAGTTACCATTCATAATTCACCAGGGGATATAACAGACATGATGAAAGAATCATCTCTAAAAGCATGTCAACGACAAAGTTAAACAAGAATGGCGAAAGTGGACAGCCCTGACGAACAGCACTTGAGATAATCAATTCTGATGACAGTTCGCTATAGGCTCATTACGATAGACAGGCCCGACCACCACGTCAAGTTAACAGCTACGGTGTATACACTCCTCATCTTCCCCTGAACCATGAGATTAAAATTACTCTATACCTTTCTCTCTATGGACTGAACTTTTCTCTCTGAGGTGTGGCAACTTGGACCGATCTGTATATGTGCGCGATCCAACGTTGTAGATGAATGACTGATTTTTCATTATAAACAATCAAACAACCATTGGAGATCGATATATTTAGAAAATGATCAACAATTTATATTGGTGCCATTTTCGCGATCGAAATTCAAATAAATATACAGTGGTTCTTATATTAGACTGATGTGATTTGTTGATATTATTCAGCTGCTAAAACTGAAGTCGGACGGTCTATCGCAAGCAATATGGAACCTAACACATGCGTATCGGTGCACGGTAAGATGGAATTATCAGGAAGAATACCAAAGTAGTAGTATCATGGACAGTAAACACTAGGTATAGAGAATATGGACAATTAATAAAATCGTTGAGTATAAGGTACTTACTATGATAGACACCATCAACAGGGTGAAAGAAATTGTAAATATTGATCACGTTTAAAGAATTTTAATAACGATCGACAGAAAATTACCATGTAAACATTAAAAACACGAAATTCCGCGAAAGGATCTCTTTTCAGCGAATTTATTATCAAGCTGTACAATCGTATATATACGATTGAGGTTACAGTTAAAAATACACAGGTATCTATACGGTCATTTATTGTTATGTTGTGGATTAGCCACGATAGTTAAGCATTGTATGCAGACCAAAGCAACTTTTCTGGCCTACCTCCAAAATAATAAAGTGAGTAAATACTAGATTTCTTTCAAGCTTTGGTCAAATGATACCAGGTAAAGTGAAACTGGAGAAAAAAATCAAACGTGAAATTGATCTTAAATAAATTATTTTCTTTCCAATAAAAGGAATAAATGAATGGAATCACACTTTAATAACTGTATTATATATAATTGAAAACATACGCATGAGCAAAACAAATATTTATTAATTAAAATCAAATATGCACAACGTAGATATATTTTTAAATCGATGCATACGAAGTTTCGTCAAAAAATCGAAGTATTTCTGGATATCCAATATTCGACAGAAATACAGTTAAACATACGAACCCGGTTCAGTGGTCTAGAGGTTGAGCAAAATTATGCGAGACCGAAGGTGCTGGGTTTGATTCCTCTTTGCGAGGTAGTGTATGAACACTACTGAGGAGTCCGATACTCGAACGAAATGGCTATCCAATGCTCCCAAGTTTTTATTGGTAGTCTAGATATAATTATTTTGTGATTTAAACTAAGAAAAACAGTCATTAAAAAACGGAAATATTTAACTTAGCTGAAAGCAGCACTGATTTAGGAAATATTTTCAAAGTAGGTCAAATAACTGGATGGATAAATGACGTTTCATAGAAAAGCGACTTATACTCATGATATAACCGACAGAATATGCTGAGGTTACTATATTTACATTCAAAAACAGAGTGAGTATTTGTGAATGCAGGAGAAGTCTATTTTGACATACTATGAATGAGAACTTTAAGGAAATAAGTCAGAACATAGAATGCAAAACTACAAGGGAAAAAAGCTGAACTATCAAAATGTGGATAAGACTGAATCTTAACCATTTGCATAATGTTCAGCAAGGAAAACAGTATATTTAGTTACGACAACTTACACAAAAATAAATCAAAGTATTTTAGAAGCCATAAAATATACAGCATAAATAAACAATTTAGTCAAACAAATGGGATAAAGACTTATTTGTGTAGAATAGTCTGATTGAGTATACAGTGCTGCGTGTGTTTGTGCGTGTTCCCTCTGGTTTCCATGTTTATATTATAGCCAATATTGGTCTGTTATAAAATTAATCTATGGAGAATGGGGATTAGCCGTCTGAAAGTGGCAGATGTTTACCGTATTTTACAAATCAGTAGTGACATTTTATAATTTTATGCATATAAAAAATAGTCTGATACTCATTATTGAAAAGAAAAGAGCATGCACAAGTGAGGTACAAAAACAAGTTTATATAAACGATACTGGCATTAGAAATAACCACGCGTGTAAAAAAATGAGCCATTATGGGGGTGGAGAGATAGATATTGTGTAAATGGTGATTTGATTCAGCACCAAAAACAACAAAGACGTTGTATAGAAATACGAAAAATAACGAATATAACTGACTAAACTTCAAGTAATAGAATAGTACAACTTTTGAAAGTAGAAATGAAAATTCTGTCCATATTTTTGAGATTCAGATAAATCATGAATATTACTAAATGTAGAAACAAAATCATGGTAGTTAGATAATCAAAATCTGGAAAATTGGTTGAAAGTATGTAATTAGTTGATTACGTGAAGCATAACATGAACACAGAAATGACATTTATTTAGGCTTTTTCAAAATATATTCAGGGAATATCTATTCCCATAAAAAAAAGAATGTGTTTTCAACAGTAACAAGATCTCTTAGATCATACAAAAGTGTGATACATGTCAAGTTAATTTTTTCCTAATATTTCAAGTCATCATTCAAAAGGGTAGCATTATCGATTAAGTACGAATAACATTAACCGTAGCTAAACACATTTACAAAGTAGTAGGATTTTGACTTGAAAACTGGAATTACTGCATGATTTTGTGTTCAGTCGTATCGCTTTCCAGATAAACTCCATGTTGTGAACTAGATTTGAAAAATAATGCATACCGGTAGATAACATAGTGTAATGATACAATGTGACTGAGTAATGGATGTTAATGAGACTGAATATTGACACAAACCTCGCAAATAAACTTAGATCAAAGACAAGACCACTAATCAGAAAAGTAGAAATTCAATATCTCCCTAAATAACATGTTTATACATAAATTAATAACAAGAAAATAACACAATAAAATGTTACAAACGACTGAAGAATGGAAGGCTCGTAAATCGTTCACTCTCCAGTAAACCAAGATCCGACTGTTAGGGTTTATTCTGTCTCGTCATATTAGAGGTTCGGGAACATCAACTCTACCGCCCGAAAAAAACAAGGATCTCAGTTAATAGTTTGACTAGTCTTTCGAAATCATACCTAAGTTTGAATAGCACACAATCAATATCATTGAATTCTAAAAGTATTGGTGAGTAAACAATTGTTCGCGAATGAAAAAACACAAAATATACGGTGCATGCGCAACTATACAAACAGATTGAAAGTGCATACACTAAAACTATATAATGACAACGAGGAAAAAGCGACAAGAAAAAAACTAAGTGTGATTTTTTATTTACCTGTTCCCTCTACATACGTTATGGGTGTTTGTAGTGAGTTTAAATTGTTAACATCCGAAAAGCAAATGCAGAGAAATTAAATATGCGAGATGAAAAAAGTAAACAATGAAATTATTGCAGAAATACTGAATGCCTAGTAGGAATCACTTTTTATTTGTATATGTTTACTGAGGAGAAAAGGATATCTAATATTCATTCAACGACTAATGGTGAAACACTTACAATGACTAAAAGACGGGTGACAAGTGACAAATATCAAAAGACTCATATCTAATATTAATATTAGGTACCAACTAGCATTACTAATATCATTCTGAAAACAACATTCGTACTTTTTACACAAACATATATCGACCATTCTTGTTAATATATTATATCCCACAATGATCAAGCCAAAGTTTTCGAGTAAGACATTTTTTTTAAATACGCTGTGTAAGATCTAGAAATACTATTTATTCAAAGTAAGCCTAGCACAATCTGAAAATTTAAAACTGGTATATGCTTTCTGTCCAGCTTGTAAACAGAAAGTATACAACATGGATCCAGGAGGTCTGTGATTGTTGACAAAAAAGGTATCAATGAAACTGAACAGTTTTTAAATGTGGTCTGTGAAATAGTTGAAACTGACAGTTGAAAACATAAAATAAACGATTAAAAATTGACATTCCAAAAACTGTTTTTTTCCGAAAACTATGTATTATTGAAGAATTGTCAAAAAAGAAAAACTGCACGAAATCATTATGTTGATGAACAATTATCAATAAGCAAAGATGGATAGTGGCTAGCAGTGAAATCCTGGACGCGCATTTCGCCCTATTTGGGACTCGTCAGCTGGATGTACCTGCATCTCAGAGTTGATGTTCACTATGGGACTCGAACCCAGTACCCTCGCTTCAAACGACATCGCGTTATCCGCTCGGCCTGATAGCCACTTGCTTGTGAAATGGGGTGAAGTTTAAATTCACTTAGGCTATATCGAAGCAATACGCACAGTATGCACATATGCCAATTAGAGAGTGATCAGTTGCAGTCCTAAAAACATCAGTGGGAAGATCTAAACAAACAATACTAAGTGAATTATCAATAAGTTTATCAGTATAAAAAATAAATAAGAAACTACAGAAATATGATAAATTACCTTTAGGACTGATAGATAAATATTTGCCACGAAATTTTGTTGACAAAAAATAATCTTGCCAAACTTTCCATTTATGTCGTAATGATTCACAATACTGACTGCAACCAGGTGGATGATGACTAACCTTAAATGAACCAAAACAAAAGATAAACGGACAAACAACCTGATGAGAGAATCAAGTAAAAAATACGGATTATTATGAAACTAAAGTGTCTAAGAAAATTAGTTTAGCAAAATGTACACTGGAAAACAGACAGACAAGGAACATATAGGATACTCTAAGTCGATTACTAAGAGGAGTACAAGTTTATGAACAAAAGTTGCTGTATGCAGTCTACCAATGTTATTACTACAATCATCCTTAAACCGAATAAAGTACTTCGGAATTAATTACGTCAATCAAATAGTAGTAGAAAATTAAGTGATTAAAACCGTTAGAACAATATTATGTTAATGATTGTCAAATTGGCTGACGATTTACACTTATTGTCTAATCCACACAACAACAACCAACCAACCAACCAAATTCCACTCAGGTTGATGGAATAAGCTGTGTAGTAACGCTAATAGCTCACTTCACTTTAGGATTTGTGCTGATGACATTGTCCAAAGTGATAATGACAGATTCACAAGTAAACTATTCAGCTCAGAAAGTATAACACATTTTCAGTATTTGTATAATGAACTAAAAATATACTCCATTATTTTATAAACCATTAGAGATAATGAATCCGAAATCTTAAATACGCTAGTACATACTTGATGATTATTGTTAAACAAAATAATACTTACGAAAAAAAAACATTTTTTTCTAAGAAAAATATCGATTGAAACTCATAACCACTACAAACTTCATCAATATTGTAAATTGTACAGAAAGAATGTATTTTATTAAAAGGTTTTAAATAAATAATGAGTAGTTTTGTATGTTTTAAGTAAACAAAGAACCACGCCAAAATAAGGCGTCGACAAGGCAATAATTACAGCGGGAGCAGCAACAACAAGAATAACAACAACGATTATGTCGGTAACACATGCGCGTATGCGCATACACACACAAACAAGCATAAACACTGACTTCAATTATTGTTTTATTATGTTATAACAAGAATGGCAAATTTTGAAAACAATAAACTAAATATATATGAAAAATACTAGACATTATTTGGTAAACGCATACATCTCAGTAAAATCTCATTCGCTGAGATTTTACAAATATATTATTCCTATTTAATGTCTTACTTCAACTCGGCGCTCAAATACTGTGAAACTATTCGTTCTAATTTAGACGAGAGTTCTTATATATTTTAGTTGTGTGAAAAAAAAACGGTTTACATTACATAACATTAGGTTTAGAAGGATATTTGTTATATGGTTAACAGTAGGATTCAAGAGGCGCGTTTCTATTTAGGACTCCTCAGCTGGATTTAACTGTACAAGTGGTAATGTTCACATAGACACTTAAACTAAGTACTTTTGGCTTCAAACTTACAACATCTTATTCACTGAAATACTGCCGACATTAACTTATTTGACGGATATGGAAGTTTTAGTAAGGGTTGTTAAACTTTGTTTGTTGATATTCAGGACTACAACCGATTAGACTTTGCAGACAGTTTAACAGTATTGTCATGCTTTGAAAATGAGAATTTTCTTTAAAATGAAGCATTAGACCTCGTATTTACAATGTGATATTCTATACAAAATGTCGGTTTGCAAGAAGTCATCACACGCGTTACTATATGTTTACACTAACCAATGTAATATGTTACGATTTTTGAAGCAATATTAAAAATTCAAAGGTAAACACCGCTACGACTTGAGAAGGCTGAAAATATAACGCGAAAGTCGAAATGCCTATAGAAGAAACTAGGGTTAAGATCTTGAGGCATTACAGAAATAGTCAATGAAATTTAATGTAATTATGATAGATAATCAATCCCAAAATAAGTAGTAAGATTATCAGACCTGCATACGAATGATTTGGAATCAATATTAAATTTGATTCACCGAAAAGGATGAATAAGGCCAAGAGTGAATGAGAGACCCGAATAACCTAGTTTCACACACAAAAAAGATGAAATTGTACCCAAAAAAATAAATTGACAATGATAAAGATTTAAATGTCGATGAATAAAGAACAATCCTGTATTGTTTAACATTAATTAACGATAGATTTTCATAATGATAATTGAATATAGAAAATTTGGTAATCGCTACGCCACATACTGAAAAAAGTAGGCTTCAAGATGGACATGTAAAAGTATTGGAGTCACATAAAAAAATACCACACTACATATAAATTTGACTGGATAATATCCCTAATTTGAGGGATATACATTTATGTATATGCAAGCGGATAAAAACAAAATGTATTTTCATACCTGTTCTGAAATACAACGCCAACCCATATCATCTGTACGATCACATTCATAAGTTTCGCCGAGCAATGAATTAAATGGTTTTCCTACACGATAAGCAGTTGAACTATAACAACTAACTGAAAATGCTACAACATAAGCCATTTGTTCCACTGGATCTCTTGTCTGTGAAGCATAATCTAATAGATGGGAATATGTGAAATCCTCAACAGCTCGTTGAAGGAATGACAAAGGTTCGTTAAAATTTACCTGAAATGGTAAGATCGTGTAAGACTTTGAATAGGAATCTCTCTAAATGTTTAATTCAGAATATATATATAGCTAACATTGAAGATGAGTAATTTGATACGAAGTTAATTTCTTCCAACCACATGAGCTATAGATTGATCAAAACATTAATATTTTCAAATTCACATTAAAACTAAGTGGATTATCAAAACATTACTACAATATTTATTCAAATAAAAAACTGCGATAACTTCCTCAACTTCATTTTTTGTTTTCATTTCCGTCAAGTTCTCTACAAGGTTTCCCAGTTTTTAACAAACAGCTTCCCGGTTTTCCATGATGATATAACCTTAATCGACTCATGAATCCAACTATGAAAAATTACTACAATATCCACAAAAACCCCATTTCGATTATTTGTATAAGTTTAGTCTCAGAATCAGTACTTAAAATATTTGTCACATTAATTTACTGAGTTTCTCTGTGTACTTAAGTAATTAAAGATACAAAATTTCAAGTATCAGTGTATTCAAAGTGTGAATAGTTCATATTTCACAAACATTTATAAGTGGTGAGAAAGTAGTTAGAATTAAGTTGTAACTAACGGATCAAGTGAAGTAAAAAGTACACTAATGAAGGATTACAGAACATTGTTGAACAGTCTGAAATATTTTGATTGTCGACCTTGACCCTGACCTAATTCTAACTGGATGTAACAAAGCCATGTGTGGTTTATCAAATTAATTTGTTGAACCTCAGTTTATAAGGAAAAAGAAGTATTTAACAATACATAGGCTTATTTCGTATAGCCATTCCACTACGTTGCTCCTGAATTCATTTAATTAATTATACGTAACAAAAGAGGTACTTTAATTATGACATTATTAAGCAGAATATAAATGACACAAAATACAAACGCTCACAGGAATGGGAATTTTCGCAAGATCTTTACCGATAGCATTTTTAATTATACCCCATAAATTTAACGCAATTTTTGGTGAAACAGGTATGGCATTTCGACGTTTACGAACTTGTCCATATTTCAATGTGTTATTATGCTGGTCAGTAGTAGAATTTTTGTTATACGTGTTTGGATATCCATCAGACTGTTGGGTTGGAGAAAAAAAGTAAAACGATGACATAAATAGCTGTGAATATTAGAGAGGAAAACCATTTGTACAAAAAATGTAGTTTAATTGAGATCGCAAATTAGTCACAGTTGTCTGGCTACAATGACTGGTATAACACAATTTTGTTCGATGCTTTTTCGACTCACCCACAATAGTTTGGGGATCACTTAGCTCTGAGCTTTTTGAATAAGAAAAACCTTTAGCATTGGGTTGCTTTAGGCGTTTTGACTGTGTTTATTTGCTTCAGATTTTGTAAGACATATGTCAACACTGTCAATCAATAAAGATCGACATAAACATAGATTTTACATCTATCAAGTTAGTCTTGACTACCAAAGGTAAGTTTTACATTTCACTAAGAGTAAATGTAATTAAATTAAACTTGGCAATCAAAAAACATATCAGAAAAGGAACTTTTTTAAAAGCTTGGTTATATTTGACATAGTGGAGCCTATAAAGCTCATGAAAAACTGAATGCATTATAAATAAATCATGAATTTACTGACTACTTATTGATGTAAATGACAAGCATAGGATTGTAATAAGCAGTCTGAATAAGTGGTTGGGAACTTTAGTGGATTATAGTTTATGTGAGAGAGAGGGGGGAAGGAGAAACAAATCTTGGATATAATTCTTTTGTGATAATTCTTTGTTACAACTTGCACGCAGCCATATAAGTCTCAATCTCTTCATTCATATGCAGATTGGATTCACTTTAGGGTCAAATGGGATTATAATTAAATTTGTATCTATAATTTTGGTAAGTCAATTGTAATTATGCCATTGTATGGCATTTTCTTGACTATCTTAGTCTTAATTCAGTGAGTCAATCAGTCAGTCACAACGTAGAACTTTGTACGTACGTAAGTACGTACATTAGTTCGAGTTACCATACCACATTATCACAGAAATACAATTGTCGATTCAAATCCCATAATGGTAGAAGTAGTAAGAGTATAGGCAGTAGTCAGAAAGATTAGGGTTTGAAGATGTTGTTCAAGAAATATAATCCAGTGAAATAAATTTGGAAAGAGAAAAAGATAAGGACATGAAGAATTCAGGAGATTAGAATTTGGCAGAACACACAGTGGATGCACCTTCGCCATATCAATCAAGGTCTCAACCATCGACTGCTATCGTCACGCGGATTCCAACCAGGTAGTCTACACCTACCAACATGGCTCACTCCACTTGTCAGTGACTTTATGGATTTGTGCCACGTTTTTGTCTGGCCAACCCTAGATTTAATACGACCTACTCCCACATCATAAAGCATCTCACGTCGGAGTAGTCGGTGGTTGGGCATACATAACACGTGTCCAAGCCATCTCAACTGATGAACTTTCACTACTTCGTCATTATCTAAGCATTGCTAAAACATACGGTCGCCATTATCTCTTCTTTCATCCACCACACCATAAGATCCACCTACGTGTCTTTCCCTTTAGCTTAGTTTACCTACTTGAGCATTTAAGTCATCAGCCACCATTACCACATCAGAACGCCCAGCTTTTCGGAGACGGTCGGAAAGCTTTCTATAAAACTAATCTTTTACCTCACCTGGGCTGCAATCAGTGGAAGAGTAGGAAGAGATGAAGAAAAGGCAACGAAGAGTGTCCCTATCTTTCTGAGTCCTTACTGTCCCGTTTAGTCGGACAGCGCACTGTCTACTGGGATCCAGTCTAAAAGAGCTAGTTCTGCCCTAGGACCTACACGAGAGAGGCCATGGGAAGCAGTATCAGGGCTTCCAGATACACGAAGTGTGAATCGAGTTAGTTCTTTCATTTGACATGGTGAGATCGAATGAATGACGCTACTCGGATACTGTATGCGCGTTTCGGAGACGTAGCACAAATCGATGGGACGAGATTCTAAAGTCCTAGCTAAGGAAGCCTGTTGTCCTATTTGGCACGATGTTCGGACGTAAAAAGCTTCTAAATGTAGTTTAGAGCGTGTATTCAGGAGACTGGGATTAACGTTCCGCGTACTCGAATCATTTACCCTAGCGGTGTGAGGTGATACAGGGACGTAAGAAGGGTTAGTCGTGAAGATAAAAGAGTTATTAGGAGGTGTAGGAAGGATTTGAATGTGAATAACTTGGTCTCGTGGTCTCCTGGGTCCCATATTGGGTTGTCATGCTCGACGATTTACACTTGAATTGACTGATTTGTTATAGTCTCGCCCATTTTGAAAAAATACCTTGCTAAAATACGCCTTAACTTACCGACATAGATGTAAAAACATTAGTTCTGTTGGTGTAACCATTCGGTAGTTCTAAATCACTGCCTGAAACTGATGTTTCTTCAACATTCACTAAACTTCTTAAGCTTGCTGATGATACCCGAGTTATATCACTATTAGGCAATGATGATGAGTTATAATTTAATGTTCTAGGCATTTGTACCATAGGTTGATTATTTGTCGAAACAAGTGAATCATTATGTCGTTGTTCAGTCATATCCAAATTAGACATGGCGTCATAAAATTCATCACTGTTTTCTTCACTAAGTGTTTTTTCTACTGACTGTTTTACAGTTTGCTTGGTTTCTATAAAAGAAAATGGAAATATTTACTTTTAAAAAAACAAACCTTCATGTGGATTTATTTAAATCAGAGAAAGAAAAGTAATGGAATAAGACTGATCACATTTCTTCTATATTCATTAATTGTGCAGTAAAATGTTGAGGATGGAATTCAATAGAAGTCAATGTTCGCAAATCAAAGATAAATAAGTAATTAACTGAGTTATTAGCAATTCATAATTTTCATTAGTTATAGAGAATACTATTGCATGTTTAATGAACCTACCTTATATGTCAATATTGAATAACTAAGCAATATCAGGGCAACTTGATCGATAGCATTCGATCAGCACTAAGGACTTGACACGAATGAGATTGATTACCACCCAATAATCAAACAATTGTGATTAGATCTCAGTCTTACAGGAGGTCGGTCGCGGCCCGAATAGCTCAGTGGTAACGTCTCTGACTGTGAAGCTGAGTGACACGGGATCAAATCCGCCAGGGAGCATCAGTTCACTCAAGATTACAGATACACCTTGCTGACGAGTGCCAAGTAGCACGAAACCCGGGTTCAGGGTTTCCTGTTGACCACCTCCAACCAGCATGTTACCTTAGTGATAGTTTTTCTTGACTTAAAAGCAGCATTTAATTCTGTAGACCGAGAGGTTCTGTGGCGGTGTCTGTCATTGAAAGGTGTACCTTAGAAGTACATAAACCTTATGAAGGCTCTTTACTCGAACACTACCAGTCGAGTGAGAGCTTATGGAGAACTGTCATCTGATTTTACAACCTCAAGTGGTGTCCAACGAGGCTGTCCACTATCTCCATCTTTTTAAATTTTATCATAGACCTAATGTTAGAAAAAACGTTCTCACCGACTGAATTTTTGGGCATCGATCTCCTTCTAGGTGGTCAACTTACCGACTTGGAATATGCAGATGACATAGTCTTGTTTGGCGAAGATGCTAATAAAATACAGGGTGTTTTCGTAGTACTAAGCAACAATACCAGGATGTTTGGGATGTATTTCTTGCCCTCGAAATGCAAATTGTTACTCCAGGACTGGTTTGCGTCAACATCTAAACTAAAGATAGGGAGTGAAGTAATCGAACGCGTCGACAACATCCCTTATCTTGGAAGTCTGATCAGCCCTAACGTGTTGGTGTCTATATATATATATATATATATATATATATATATATATATATATATATATATATATATATATATATATATAACTCCGCCTGTAGCTCCTCTGGGGGTTAATGCCGGTCCCAAGCCCGGGTAAAGGAGGAGGGTTGGGCATTGGGTTAGCGACCCCATCCCGTAGAAAATCAACTAGCTAAAAAAACGCTAACCAGAGAAAATCAATCAAACCATTCAAACTCTTCCCTGGGAGTAGAAGGAATAATTATGACGTCTCATGATGAAAGCCAAGTTCCTTCAGAAGTCATGAGGCCGATGCACTTTCTTACAACCAGAGCGACAATTTTTATAGGTACATGGAATGTCCGAACAATGTGCGAGACCGGAAGAGTCTTCCAAATTGCTGCAGAAATGAGAAAATAAAACCTGGAGGTGCTTGGAATCAGCGAGGAGCTGACATAGCATCCGATCATCATTTGCTGGTCGCCAAGATGAAACTAAAACTTAAGAAGCACTGGACAACGGCACGGACAGCATCACAAAAGTTTAACACAGCCTTTCTTCGAGATGCTGACAAACTCAACAAATTCAGCATAGGCCTCAGCAACAGGTTCTAGGCCTTTCATGATCTACTCAATAGAGAGGGAACGACCATGGAGAGCAACTGGAAAGGGATATAAGAGGCAATCACTTCAACATGTCAAGAGGTTCTGGGCCAAAAGAAGCGCCATCACAAGGAATGGATCACTGTTCGTACACTGGATAAAATTGAAAAAAGGAGGAACAGGAAGTCAGCAATCAATATCAGCCGAACCAGAGCGGAAAAAGCCAAGGCACAAGCCAAATACACAGAGGCAAACAAGCAAGTGAAGAGGAGCATCAGAACTGACAAACGTAAATATGTGGAAGATTTAGCAATGACAGCGGAAAAGGCTGCAAGAGAGGGAAACATGAGACAACTGTATGATACAACAAAGAAACTTGCTGGAAATTACCGTAAACCAGAAAGACCAGTGAAAAGCAAGGAAGGCAAAGTAATCACCGACATTGAAGAACAACGAAACAGGTGGGTAGAACACTTCAAAGAACTCTTGAATCGACCAGCTCCAGTGCACCCACCCAATATCGAAGCAGCACCCGCGGACCTCCCAATCGATGTTGGCCCATCAACAATCGAAGAGATCAGCATGGCCATTAGACAAATCAAGGGCGGCAAAGCAGCGGGACCAGACAACATTCCGGCAGATACTCTGAAAGCAAATGTAGCAACAACTGTAAAGATACTCCACATCCTCTTCAGCAAGATTTGGGATGAAGAACAAGTACCAAAAGACTGGAAAAAAAGGACTTCTTATCAAAATACCAAAGAAAGGCGATCTCAGCAAGTGCGACAACTACAGGGGCATCACTCTTCTCTCAATACCAGGAAAAGTCTTCAACAGAGTATTGTTAAACAGGATGAAGGATTCCGTGGACGCCCAACTTCGAGATCAACAAGCTGGATTTCATAAGGATAGATCCTGCACAGATCAAATCGCAACTCTACGTATCATTGTGGAACAATCAATCGAATGGAATTCACCACTCTACATCAACTTCATCGACTACGAGAAGGCATTTGATAGCGTGGACAGGACGACACTATGGAGGCTTCTTCGACACTACGGCATGCCTGAGAAGATAGTCAACATCATACGGAACTCCTATGATGGACTAAACTGCCAAATCGTCCACGGAGGACAACTCATCGACTCGTTTGGAGTAAAGACCGGTGTAAGGCAAGGTTGCTTACTCTCACCCTTTCTCTTTCTCCTGGTCATCGACTGGATCATGGAGACGTCAACATCTGGAGGAAAACAGGGGATACAGTGACAGGCAGGATGCAGCTTGATGATCTGGCTCTTCTATCACAAACGCAACAACAAATGCAGGAGAAAACAACAAGTGTAGCAGCAGCCTCAGCAACAGTAGGTCTCAATATAAACAAAGAGAAAAGCAAGACTCTCCGATACAATACAATATGCATCAATCAAATTACACTTGATGGAGAAGCTTTGAAGGATGTGGAAACCTTCACATATCTGGGCAGCATCATCGATGAACACGGTGGATCAGATGCAGATGTGAGGGCGCGCATCGGCAAAGCAAGAGCAACATATTCACTACAGTTGAAGAACATCTGGAACTCAAAACAATTGTCAACCAACACCAAGGTTAGAATTTTCAATACAAATGTCAAGACAGTTCTATTGTATGGGGCGGAGACGTGGAGAACTACGAAAGCCATTATCCAGAAGATACAAGTGTTTATTAACAGTTGTCTAAGCAAGATACTTCGGATCAGATGGCCAGACATTATCAGCAACAAGTCACTGTGGGAGACTACAAATCAGATTCCAGCAGAGGAAGAAGCGCTGGAAGTGGAATTGGCACACCTTGAGGAAATCAGCTAATTGCGTCACAAGACAAGCCCTCACATGGAATCCTGAAGGTCAAAGGAGAAGAGGAAGACCAAAGAACACATTACGCCGAGAAATGGAGACAGACATGAGAAGAATGAACAAAAACTTGATAGAACTAGAAAAGAAGGCCCAGGACAGAGTGGGTTGGAGAAAGTTGGTCGGCGGCCTATGCTCCATTGGGAGTAACAGGCGTAAGTAAGTAAGTAAGTAATTTAACTAATACTCAATTTATTTGAAACTATCAAATTCGACATTATTAGTTATAAATATGAATACAGGCGTAAGTAAGTAATATATATATATATATATATATATATATATATATATATATATATATATATATATATATATATATGATTGTACAGCTTTAAAAATGAATTCTCCAAAAACAGAACTCCTCACTGAACCAATCTTTCTTATGTTTATGAAAGTGTTAATCATATAGTGAAAGCGTAAAAAGTAACAATAATTGGATTAAATTCAGTGAAAAAATTTCAATCCAGAATACAGCCTTCCAGTTTATTAAAACGCACTAGTTTAATTTAAAATAAACGATCACTGATGCGATTATGTTTTATTTTTTAGTTGTTCAATTAGATTAAGTTAATGTACAGTTTAACGAATAGATTTATGTAAAATCTTACGCGTTACTACAGTTCCAATGTCAAATAACAAAACAAGAATAAAATGAGATTGTTCTGAGAATCATCCAATTAAGTGGACAGATTATATCATGTATTGACAACAACTAATAATTACAGTACACTGAAAAGTTGTTTCATTATGGTTTGGAAATTATTAGCAATGGGTAACTGAAGATCATATTATGGAATGAAGCTAACAGTTTCGAATCTTAAGAGGAGTATACTCATTTTCTTTAAACAGCTAAGTTGGAATCCAATGGTTCACATTTGTCATTTTGAATGAAACACTTTTAAAATAACAAAAAAATCGGCATATTCTAATTTCAACTTAGAAAAATTAGAACATAGTTTACAATCTATGAACCGTTTAAAAGTAAATAAATTCCAATTGTAAAAAAAAAACACTAAGAAACCTCTTCCATCAGGTTTTATATTATGCCTTTATTTAGTAATTGTATCATATGAAATTAATCATTAAAGTACTAAAAGTCAAATCGATGCAAGATGATTTAATATCATCTCACATGGTCAACGTTCACCTCTACTATATCTACAAATAAACATGAATTAAAAACATTCTGATTAAATTATATCAACAAAGGTTCGCTACTAGACTTCTAACATATAAATGACATAGTTCAGTAAAAACTAATTACATTTGACAGCATAAATGATTTTCGGAAATGTTGTATCCTCTATAGTCAATAGGCCTAAACTAATGTCTGATAACTAATTTGAATTTATGCTTGATCAAATTGAAAAAGAGTGTA